ATGCTTTGTAATGCAAAGCAGATGCTTTGTAATGCAAAGCAGATGCTTTGTAATGCAAAGCAGATGCTTTGTAATGCAAAGCAGATGCTTTGTAATGCAAAGCAAATACTTTTTAATACCGACACCTCCTACTTACAAGCAGCTATCTTCTTGAGCAGTGCAGACAAGCACTTATCTTCTTCAGCTGTGCAGACAAACAGCTAACTGCTTTTTCCTCTTCGCGACTTTGGGTATTCATATTTCTGTCTATAGATGACGTAGCCACTCTACTGCTGCGTCAACTTCTTCCTTTAGTTTGTCAAAACATAGAATGTCCCTCCCGATGTTCCTAACTTGTCACTAACAGAAGTTATTGGACGGAGAATACGTCAACCCTGACCTCCTCAAAAACAGATAGCTGTTTGTCCGCCACCCTCCAGCAGATAGCTTCTTGTCTGCACAGCTCAAGAAGATAGCTGCTTGTGCGAGGGGTCCGCAACTAGGTTTGAGCGCGTACACTGGCAGCCCGGAAAACTGGGAAGACCGGGAAGACCACCAGGAAAACTAAAGAAAGCCGAAGAAGACCAATAAATAGGCCACAAATGTGACGGAAAACCGAAAAATATAAGGGAAGACCGAAAAAACTTAAGAAAGACCCAGAAATTGCAAGGAATAAGACCAGAAAACATAAGGGAAGACCGGTGAAAACGCAAGAAAACCGCAGAAAACTGGAGGAAGCCTCTAGAAAATCTCAGAAAACCAAGATACTGGGAAAACCAAGAAAAAGTTGGGAAGACCGGGAAACCTTAGGAAAACCTAGGAAAACCAGGAAGCCCACCACATGTGTACACCGGCAGACCGCACTTGCGGACCCCTCGTGCTTGTGCGTAGGAGGTGTCGATAAATAACATTGCTTTTAAGGTTTCAGGATTGTGCGTACCACCCGTATACGTTGCGGTGTAGAGCCTCAGACAAAGGGTACATTATGGAGCCGACTTGTCCACCAGTTGTGAAGGATATGAGCTCGTCAGAGCATAGCATGCAATAGAACTCTCCGCCATTGGAAGTTTCCTGGCCACTGTACGACTGGACGCGGTCTACGCAGCTTGTATAGTTGATGTAGCACTCTTGAGTGTGGTTGCTTAAAAGACGGAAGGTGAGGTCCTCGCTGTGCGAAACAAATTTGTCAGTCACTTATTGCTCTAGCAGAAACGTCTGTTTTTTACAGTATTTATAAACAGTTTTACAGCTGGTTCTTTTTTAACCAGAGCTCCGTTTTTTATGGATCTAGGACAGCTCACCCGAGCTAACTCGCCCCATGCTCCCGGGCCTGGGGCCGGAGCTGCCGGCCGAGAGTAGTAGTCAGTGATAAGTAGTAATCAGCGAGCAAGTAGGAAGTTAGTACACGAAGAAGACAAACACCCCTAGGACCTGGCCTGGACTCTAGTGACTGCTTTTGTCCGTAATGTAAGTATCTGATTTAATGACACTATATTTATATTTTGAAACCTGTGCTATACCCTTGTCCGATCCTGATATCCTAATATTCCACGCACGAATGCAAGTTTTAGTCGCCAAGATTCTGATGTCAAATTATTCTAATGTAGTAGTGAGGCAAAGTAGTCAGCGGGGCATTTTGCTACCGCCTCGCATTTTCAAGTAACATCACACTAAAGTAATTTCGGCCACATTTTGAGTAACAACAACATCACAACAAGTTTTGCTTTCACTACAATCTCGTAGATGGCGAAAAGACGTCTAAGGATAGATAGAAATAACACGTTAGACGGGGTAATCGATATACGGTATCCATTACCTATTCTCCAAGAGGTCCTGCATGAAAGGTGATTCAACTCCAACAACAACTCGATCCAGGGCCAGCAAGTCAGCTGGCGTGCGCAGTGCTTCGTTGAGCTGAGGACTCGACATGCTGTACACGATCGACGACTTGATGAACACGTTAACATTGAGGAACCCGAGAAGGGCCGTGAGCACGAGGGCCAGCAGAGATGGTCGCATTACTGGGGAGCAATCAAACGTAGTTGGGTCAGGTCACGTAATATGTGAACACGACCCAAGAGGGTAATAAATGCACACAGGATTTTTAAAAAAAGCGTCCCTACAGGGCTTGCCCTTGGACCTGGCAGTTTTTACAAATAAAAAATATATATTTTGCTGTAGTATAACGGCAACATTTGTACACCAAACAAAACGTCATAGTTTCTTCTATCTAAAGGAATATATTGCTTTTCAGTAGGAAATACTTTTCATGTGGAAAAGAACCTGGGAGTCTCACCTCAAAATCTAGCTCCTAAAAACTTTCCCGCCGCGAGGTAAAAAGTTCTACTACAAGCTAAGCGAGTTTCAGTCTTCTCGAGAACGGTTTGAGCTAGGAGGCTCACATTTTTATTGAACCTTTAAATCATAAAATGCAAGAGCTGTATTAATTTTGAGCGCTCTGGCACATAAATTGACGTATCGAAAACATCATACACTAAGAGCCGCAAAACTGTAATTTTGAGAAATATTGTTTTTTACATCTTTTCTGACGGTAACTCGTCATGGTAGAACGCCTTCGGCTAAAATTTCGCCCGTTTGACTCTATCTTTTACCGTTAAGGGGGGATCCTATTGTAGCGGCTGAAAAACAAGGTTGTCTTTTGGGATTTAATTGGTGGAAAAAGATAACTCTTATTGAGAACCAGTAAAAGCTATTTAATAGAGTGTTCTTTTAACTTTTAAACAGCAAAACGTAAGTCCCGATATTTTTACTGTAGCCGGAGAAAAGTGTTGCAGAGGCCTCGATTTTACAACTGGGCCCAGCCCACAGCCCAAACGTTTAATCCCAGAGAGCTTATTTTTTTGTGGTTGTTCCTAGAACGTGTGTTTATGGTTGGAACTCGGCTCTCCGGGATCGGAGTAATCCTTCCTACAACACAAAATCAAAGCTTTGAAAATTTTCCCTAAATTTTATTAGCAAAAGTTTAACTTACTCGGAGAAATACTAAAAATAATTTCATCACAAAAGTTCTAGTTCCAATCATAGCCGGGTTCCTACCGAGTCTAAAAATCTTGGGAAGGACTGTTTCAGACGACTGAGTTGGCCTGGACGCTTGCCCCTATGAATATATGACATGCCCAAAGGGGGCCTCTTCTGCACCACTTTTCCCCGGCTACAATGAAAATATCGGGACTTACGTTTTGCTGTTTTAAAGTTAAAAGAACCCTCTATTAAATGGGGTTCACCGATTTTTAATGAGAGTTTTCATTTTTCACCAATTAAATCCCAAAAATACTCTTGTTTTTGCAGCGCTACATTACGATCCCCCTTAAGGCGCTAGAGAGTGTTTCGCCAATAGAGAGGGGCCCTAATACGAAATTTTTAATTCGGTCTGAGATTCTTTGTAAAAGTAAATCAGGAAAGTGGAGTCCTATGGGCTGAAATTTCGTCCGCTCGGCTCTATCTCTCACTGTTTAAGCGCCAAAAGGAGTCACTCAAATAGGCATGGCCACAAATGGGAATGAATGTTTAAACTCTTTGGTATTGCTTCTCAAAGAATAACCCATTAAACTAAAACCATTGGGAAGAAAATGTCGATTGTTTCTGGTTGTTTCTGTGACAGACTGTTAAGTAAAAATTAGCGTTTTCGTGATACTACATAATCTAGGGACCCTTAAGCCCAGAAGAGGGTGTGGTTCGACCCTTCATGTGTGGTTTAAGTACAAGGTAGATATACGCCAGACCACGTCTCGCGTAACAGGCTTCTCGAAATCTCACGAAACACTGTTACGCTGCGACGCGCCTGGCAAACATCTACCTAGGCCTGCGGCGCTGACACCGGAATTGGACAAAAGGCACAATCGTAAATAGGCCTTCGGCCCCAAAAGTCACAAATTTCGTGCCTCGGGGTTTTACTTTGATGAGTTACCGCACCGAAGACCGTAAAATATCTGAGAAAAAAAGTTAATATGTTTTGGGGTGATTTCCGTGTGAAGAACGCCCTTTGGAGCCAAACGGTTAAAAATAGAGCAAAACGGACAAAATTTTGTCTCTATGGGTTCTACTTTGACGAGTTACTTCTAAAAAAGATGATAAACTAGGTAGATGAACGCCAGACCACGTTTCGCGTAACAGGCTTCGCGATATCTCACGAAACACTGTTACGCTGCGACGCGCCTGGCAAACATCTAGCTAGGCCTGCGGCGCTGACACCCGAGTCGGGCGAAGGGCAGAGTCGTAGATACGCCTTCGGCTCCCAAGGACACAAATTTTACCCCCAGGATTCTATTTTGACGAGTTGCCCTATCACATACCATCAAATATCTGAGAAACAAAATTAAACTAATTTGGGGTCGTTTTCGTGTGGGAATCGCCCTCTGGCGACTAATTGGTTAAAGATAGAGCCAAATGGAGAAAATTTTGGCTCTTTGAGTTCCTCTTTGACGAGTTACGTCTTTCAAAGATGTAAAAAAAAAAATTTAATTTATATTTTGGGTTTTTCGTTTTTTAATTTTTTTGACAGGTCAATTTTTATGCTAGAGGGCTCAAAGTCAGTCAGTACAGTTCTTCCTTTTTATAATACAAAGTTACGATAAAAACTTAAGCCTTCTACCTTAAACCGTTCTCGAGTTATAGTGTGAACAGACAGACAGACAGACAAACAGACAAACAGAATGAAACTTTTCCGGTCAGTGGAGCAATGGGCTTCGCTAATAGCTCAGCCAAATATTTTCAAAAAACGTCATTTTTTGGACCCGTTGCTTCTTACTTTTATAAATTCCAATTCTTGAGCTAGAATGCTCATCTTCGAACTCGATTTGCCATTTTATGACATCAAAACGACCCTGAAAATCCCAGGTCGCTGGCTTAATGCATTCTCGAGTTGGACCGACGTGCGGACAGATACAGACACAGACACACAGACAAACAGAAGAATTTTTTTTCGACCGGACGGAGTAATAGGCTTCGCTAATCGCTCAGCCAAACAAATTGCTGTATCACACTGCCTGGATACCGAAAACTAAAACAAATTTCATCCAAAAATTTGTAAATTTTGTTTGAGTGTATGGTATGAAGACCATGTTTTCGCAATAAAATAAGGGTGGCTAGAATACAGTGAAACATACCACCAGCTGTGTTTACTGGCTGCTCCACAAACATTGCCCATACGATAATAAGAGGATCGTGGCCCCCTGCAGCAGACATGACCAAAACCGTGGTGACCAGCATGAGCAACATGAGAACGACGACCGGCAGTGGCATTGCCAAGTGAGGTGCAACAGGCAGAAAGCTCGGCTGAGGCAGTGGCAAGTACCAGCGGTAGTAGGTAGAGCCGAACGGGCCAAGGGATGAGTACCTGAAGAGAGACAAGCATAAGCAAAAGAGGACTTGTAGTAAAGGATGAATATTTAAGTTTTCTCTTTATAATAACTGAAAAAATGTCAGTCTACTTTAACAAACGGCACAGTTTATCCCCCCTTGAAAGAATGTTAGTTATGTGCCACACTAAACCATTACGCATGACTTTGATAATAATTGCAGAGTTTAATGTAGCCACACACTGCAACGGACCTCCGTTATGGAGACCCGCCCACTGTTGCAGGCAGAAGTATGCTTTCTGCAGATCGATAGTAGATCGTTTGTAGACGTACGTAGACACAGTTTTTTAGTCCTAAACATTAGCCGCCTCCATTTCTTAAAACTCCTAAATGGGGCGGCTAACTCAACATACACGTTAGCCGCCCCATATTCTATTGGGCTTGCCAGTAAATGTAAAAGTACCATAGCTACCGCCATAGTACCACCCCTTTGTTTGGCGTTGTATTGTCTTTACGATCACTCTGTCTCGTAGCCATTATAATTTTGTGTCTTTTTTCATCTACTAACGAAGACCGATTTGGCTATGGTACTTTTACATTTACTGGCAAGCCTATTAAAATATGGGTAATTCCACCAAAATGGCACGGGTTGGTGTCCGCGAAAAAGTTTCGCGTTTATCTCAAATATATTGTTTGTCAAGCTTCGCCGAGGTGGTTTTCGAGCTTCATTACTTATGCTCTATTTTTGGCTGAGCGATTAGCGAAGCCTATTACTCCACTGATGATCAAAAAGTTTCGCGTCTGTTTGTCTGTCTGTCTGTCTGTCTGTCTGTTTTTCTGTACGCACGATAACTCGAGAACGAAATGAGCTAGCGACCTTGGATTTTCAGGGTCGTTTTGTATCATAAAAAGACAGATCGAGTTCAAAGAAGAGCATTTTAGCTCAAAAATTGGATTTTTAAAAAATCGAAAACCACAGGTCCCCAAAATGACGATTTTTAAAAATATTTTTTTAATGTTTCCTAAGGGGAAACTCATCAAAGTAGAGCCCTTTGGGCGAAAATTTCATCTGTTTGGCTCTATCTCTAACCATTGATGTGCTAGAGGGTGTTTTTGACAAAAAAAAAGCGAAAAACTGTACAACCCTGCATGCTTAGTCAAGTTGACGGGCCATAGGCCCGTATCTTTGAGTACATTTTTGCACTACCCGACTCGGGTGTCAGCGCCGCAGGCCTAGGTAGATGTATGCCAGGCGCGTCGCAGCGTAACAGTGTTTCGTGAGATATCGCGAAGCCTGTTACGCGAGACGTGGTCTAGCGTACGTCTACCTAGTAACTATTTTAATCAACAACAGCTACGGAGCATTAGTATTTCATCAATAATTAACTATAATCTCACTTTTGTCCCCTTTGTCACACCCTTACCTAATTTCAGTGTTTTCTTCTATACCAAATGATGCCAAGGGTACTCCACTGTTCGAGATGTTTACTTTCGTGTCATTTTCACTATTTCAATCCACAACAGCCACTCACTATTAGTATTTTGGCCAAAAAGTGTCTTAAATAGTCCCCTTTGTCACGCCGAACGCCCAGGACAGCGTGACAAAGGGGACAATATTTGACATTTTTGGCCGAAATACTTATAGTGTGTAGCTG